GGGAGGGGGGGGGGGGAAGGGGGGGGGGGGGGGGGGGGGGGGGGGGGGGGGGGGGGGGCGCTCGGGTAAAAACCGGGGGCTTCACCCTTTCGGACGAGCTCTCGGACATATTTTTACCAGAATTTCATTTCCGATTGAATCTCCGCGTGTGCGGCGAAGAATGAATCCCGACGGCCGGGGAATTCTTCCCTGAATTCCGCCCACGTACGAGGTCCACGTGTAGCGTCGGTGTGATCGTACCTTTACGCAGAACCGAGTGGGTGGCTGAAGGGGTGGTTTATCGATCAGGATAGGGACCTCCGGAGGCTCAGTGCTCGCGGAACCACCACCCCGTCGAAGCGATCTCACCGTGCGGAACACCTTTTCGTCGGGACACAGCTCGATGTTCTCGTGAAAACCGAAAATTACCAAAATTCTCCCTCAGTTCGTTCTCGTGGTGCGCACTATCCTGATTCCACGGAGGCTCTCCGACAACCCTCACAGCAATGTAAGTCAGCCTGAACGCTATTTTGTTCGAACACCTCTCGGTGTCCCGATAACGTCTTAATTAATCTGCGATGTTGCCTATCGGGACGGCTCGTTGGCGACAGAGTTAACGTGCGGTTAATAATAATAATAATAACAATAATAATGATAATAATAATAATGATGATAATAATAATAATAATAATAATAATGATAATAATAATAATAGTGACGCGGGACCAGGGCGACATTTTATGGGGTGGCAGGGTGCGCTATGTGAAAAACAATTCTCTCGCCGTGAGCTCGCCTACGGTGATCCTGGTTGCAGATACTTTCTTTTCGTACCATAATCGTTTTTGTACCATTTTATTGAATTAACTGCCGAGCGAGGAAGGAGTTAATTGTTTCGTTACGGAAGTTGCTTCATTACGTTGCGTCGTTTTTTTGTGCGCGAATTATCGCGCGAATCGTTGCGCGAATTATTATGTTATCGCAGGAACCAGGACGGTTTTATACGAATTTTGTCTCGTACCTTTGCGGTACAGATGTTAGCAGTCGTCGCGAGTACTCGAGCCACTCAACGACCTAAAGTGACCCATTTATCGATCCCCCAAAATGTTAACGAATCGTTTCTAGGCTTGTTTCTATTTGTTATCGCGTCCACGGGAAAATGTCGTCTCGATAAATTATGCCCGTCGAGCCTTTTCGTTACCGTGGAAAGCAGAATATAACGTTTGTTTAACTATAACGAGGGTTGAAAGCGGTGCTCGGCGCGTCCAATGGCGTGCTTGACCCGACAAACATGTTTATCCCTCTTTTTAAATAAACTCTGCAACGTTGTTCCATCGATAACTCGAGACCTTAGAAAATTTACAACGCAAAACCAAGAAATTTCGTTTCGTTCGATCATAGCAAGAAGCGCCGAGGGTAGAAATTTGTCAATTGTTTAAATAATTTCGCTTTGCAAAAATTGATACGGTGGTGAAATTACGAAAAAAAAGAAAGAATTGAAACTAAATGATCAGGGTAACAAGGGGTGGACAAATGAACTTCGTCCATGGAATAACGTCACAACGTTTTGGAAATTAATTTGAAATTAGTCGTGTCAAGCTCGACAAACTTAAGAACAATTAAATTGAAAACTAAGAAGGGTATTATATAAGGTGTTGTAAAATTTCTTTCATCCGTATAGCGTCGTCAAACAATTTATTTAATTAGTTGTATTCATTTTAATCGAAGATATTCCATTGTAAGATATTCCATTTTTGAGGTAATTTCGTTTATGGCTGTGGAAGTGTGCTAGGATTGTAGGGCAAACAGGGAAAGCAAAGGGGTGCACTGACCTCGATAGCTGGTTCATGGAAGGTGGACATGTTTTTGGGACAGAGCCAGACAAAGTCGCGACTGCATTTAGCAGGACCGATACCCTTGAGTCAACGTACGAGGAATTTCTCGTCGCGGATAGATCCATAAATCAAACGAGCCCCACGTTTATGAGGATTCCGGCCTTTGGCCGCGATCGATAATTAGGTCTCCGTGATTCGAAGTTGACAGGAGTCGAGCTGAATACTTTATTCTTTGCGAAACACTCCCATGACGCCAGAATACCATTAACTTTTCTATAAATTGCATCTAAAACGCCCTGCGGTCGCGCAAAATGCAGAAATAATATTAATCAACTTCCGAACATAAATTGGAACTTGAAAAGAAGAGGAAAGATTCTCGTTGTCGTGCTCCAGAGAAATTAAAATCGCGACAAAATGCTACATTTCGTTGAAAATTCCGATGAAATATTACAAAATGTTTGTTAAAGGAGAACGTTGTTAACAGTGTTCCCCGTTATGGCAATATTTCCCCTGTGCGCAAGGAGCACTCCTGTACAATGGTATGTTCCGTTGCAGGGTGAACCACCTTGGTGTCGTGCCACCCTCCATGAAACCGAGTCGCATGTGGCATGCAAAGTCACGTATTAACATAAATACTTGCCGAGCCATTTTCTTTTATCGCATACACCGCGACTATTATTGTTTTTTCGATCACGCGGCCGGCGAAATGAAAAAGAAAAAAATTAGGGCCGTTGACCCTCGACACCAGTTTATCAATTATCACCGAGAAACCGTGCTAGCGCTTAGCCCTAAGAGCAACCAAAGGATGTACAACGACGTTATATCCACGTTCTCTTCGATTTCAAGTCGCCGGTTCTTAAAATCGATTATTAATCGCCGTTTAATTATTCAGAAACAACGTTCGATTACGTTCGAGTCCAGCCCAGAATAATTCGCGATCTCTGGAAGCTTTTAACAAACATGTTCGATGAACCATTTCGGGACCAGCAAGGGAGAAGTTGCGTAAACGTGCACGCTGGGTGGAATCGCGGGTTATAGGGAGCAGGCGAGTCGACTATTTTCGCATAACGCGGACCATAGTGATCGAACGGTTGTTTCTTTGGTTGTTTTCTGGCTGGCGAGAATTCCGGCGGGCGGTTGGCAGACGTCCAACGTCGGGAAAGCCGTACTGGTTGCACTTTCGCGTATCTATAGCCGTGTTCCTCTCTCCCCGGTGCACATGCAGTCGCAGCCATGACACTAGGAATCAGGCCACTGTCCTAGTTTACGCCTTTCCGAGCAATAAAGGTTACCCCTTTGCAGTGCACGTAACCTACTCGTTGCAAGTTTGTACGAGGCTCCGCCGTTGAAATCGAGACGCCAATGCGTTCTCGCGTAAGACGTGCACCGGTGCTGTGGCGGTTGCCGATCTTCGGGGGTCGTTACGAATGGCCGCCGCACGGTCGGTGAAACAGATCCAGCGCCCCTGAAACCGTTTAAAGTTGTAGTTCGACGAATTCGTCGGCACGACTATCAATCTTAACACGTTGAATGCCACACCGGTTTCACAGAAATTGTCCGTGGCGCCACGATGAATTGTCTTCTATGCGATACATATAATGTTTGAAATATTATATGCAATAGATAAGTTACAGTGTACAACCATGTTTGACATGTTCATTGTGACAGGGGTCACTGTTTGAATCGACGATGGTAATAATACCAAATTTTAGATACTGACATTTGTTTGAAATTATATATATTTCTATCAATTTGGGCGCGCCGGTCACCGATGGCCCCCATGGCGTCACCGCCAAGTTAAGTGCCGGTCACCGGTGACCCCCGTGGCATTCAACGTGTTGAAGGCATTCAATTGACCGTCAGCACGATTATCGATCTTAAAGACGTTCAATTGACCGCCACGTTTCAATGATCCGCTCTGTACAACGATTTTCTTATTTTCTATTTTGCATTCGACCGCATTTAAGTGCCCGCTTTTCGGATAGTTTTGTATTCGTCTCTCTCCTATATCTGTAAAGGATTGTTTTTTAAGATATAGAAACTTACTACATAATTCGATGCAATTCGAATAACGGCGACATGGTTACGCATCGTTGTACAAATCTCACGCTGGGCCGTTAGCAAGGAAAATCAGACACGAGGTGAAAAGCACACACTCGACCATAATTTTCTACCAATGTTGCTGTACTCCGTGCAAACTCGGCTGTTCGATAACCGAGGTGCAACGGCCATCGGCCCCCAACAGCGAATCTAGGCCACCAGCACCACCAGTATTTCCACCCCCCACAATACCGTCGTTAATATCATTGGTATCGCTACAACCATCGCTAACCATTCAACATTAGCATCGTTGCTAAATAACGCCGAAGCTGCTGATCTATTTTATCGAATATATTTGTTGCCGTTGCGACTGGCTTCGCTTCCGTTCGAACGTTCCATTTGCAACCGTGTTGTCGTCTCGTGAGTCCCAGCATCGATCGGTGAAACGGTTTGCGGGTATACAGGTCTGCAACTTCTCCCTGGAACAAAAGAAAATATAGTAAAAAAACTATATATATATAAATAAAAAATATATATAATATATATATAACATATAAATATATATATATATATATAACATATATATAACATATAAATATTATATAAATATTATATATATATATATATATCATATCATTATATATAACATATATATATATATATATAAATAAAAAAACTATATATATATATATATAATATATATAGTAAAAGAACTAAGTAAAAATTTGTCGACGATTTTCTAGCATGATCACGGCGTTGCCAGTGCCCTCGGTGAAAGTCTTCCACAAAACTTACTACCAGGAAAAGGGGTCCAGAGTGACGAGCAGTCAACCTGGCAGTCCGCTGACGGAGAGCGAGGCGGTGCTGGCGTTGCTGGACAATGAACCGCCGGAATACTACTTCTGTGGCAAGGTGAGCCACGATGCCTTCGCTATCAACGTTGTTCAGCTTGTCGCACAGATAGGACAAAAATCGCTCGTTCGTCGCGACCTTCGCTCCTGCAAAATGGATAATGGATAATAATAAGAGGAACTCGCCACGCTTAACCCCTTAATGCACAGTTTTTTCGAAAAAGACCGGCCAAAGGAAATCAATTTTTTTTAATGTAAAAATTTAGAACGTTGTCTTGGCAAGAAAATGACAAAAGTACAAAAGTAATCAAAATTTTTATTGCAATTTTGGATTTTGATAACATCGCAGAAAATAGTCGAATATCGTAATATTACACGCACACATCGACTTTTTTTTATCTTTCTTTTCGAATTCCCGTTTCAGAGTAAACATTATTATCAGTAAAAATATTTATGTAAACAGCGAGTTATTTTGTGATTACAGAAAGTAAACTTGAGTATATTGGATATTTATACAATTGGTATGATTTCTAATTTTCAGAATATTATTATTATTATTATTATTATTATTATTATATTTTATTTTACATTATATTTTAGTAAAGTATATATTGAAAAATGAGCGAATCAGAATCTGAATATGAATACGCTGTCGGAAAGCGGCTCTCACAAGGAAGAGATAAGTCGTAAGTGATAAGTAGAAAAAGGATATATTTTATACTTGAATAAGTAAGTGTTATAGCTTACAATCCCATGTAAACGATAAACATCAATAAAACGATTGTCTTTTTTTTGCTTTCACATTGTTATTTTCAATTCTCGATTGCATTCGAGCGTGAAAAATTCTAGCAACATAAAGTACAACGCCGCTCGAATTATCTCGAGTGTTTACACAGTTTGGCCAGCATAGAGTTAACTCGAGCGTGCACGTTAAGGGGTTAATATCAAATTAACACTGACTATTCTTACAGGTAAACGCGTTGCACGTGGTGGTCGGCTCCCTCCTCCTAGGCGCCGTGGTCCTAGTAGTGGGCCTGGTGCAGCTGGCGCCAGGCGCGGAAGCGGCGCAGAACTCCACGTCCCTGATCGTAGCAGGCTGCATTCTATTGTCGGTAGGCGTGTTCCTAGCGACAATTAGAGCCTTGTGTATCAAGAGGCAGAAATCCGGTCACAAGGACGAGACCCACCAGCGAAGCGTCACCAGTATAGACATGCTGTTGGCGCAGCACAGGTGAGAGAGCCAGGCCGAAGGTCTTTCGCTTCGCAGCCGATTATCGCGAGAACTAAGAACAATAGGAACAAATAATTTTAGGGCATCGCGATCGTCTCTTCGAAAGCTAGACGACTGCTCTAACGAAACACGTATTATATTTGTTCTCGCAGAGACTTCACCGTGTTGACGCCGGACGAGTTGGAGGACCTGGTCGGCCGGTCGACCTCCGCTCTGGAGAGCAAAATCCGCAAGCAGGGCCACAACACCTAGGTGTTGTCGGCCTCGAGGAAGGCCCATCCGTCATCGCCGCCGTGCTCGAACACACCGTCATCGTCGACGTCGCCAGGGACTAGCTCATCCATCCTCTACACGCATCGTTACGACTCTCGTGAACACAGTCTGGTTTAAAACAAAAACAAACAAAACGAAAAAAGGGGGCCGGCCGCGTGTCAGCCTCGTTTCTTAGGGACTACTTCAGTCGTCGTCGTCGCCGCCGCCATGCACGAGCAGCAGTTTTCATACTTAAACGATTNGGTGTTGTCGGCCTCGAGGAAGGCCCATCCGTCATGGCCGCCGTGCTCGAACACACCGTCATCGTCGACGTCGCCAGGGACTAGCTCATCCATCCTCTACACGCATCGTTATGACTCTCATGAACACAGCCTGGTTTAAAACAAAAACAAACAAAACGAAAAAAGTTTTCCACCAGTGAACGCGTGCACACAGCAGAGATAAAGGGACCTAATTATCGATTAAATCCACTGCCTTTCTTTTATTATCGTGACCCCGGACCCTTCGTACGGGACGCCGCAACCTCTTGTCGCTCTTGGGCTCGTGGAGTCCAGAGAGAGTCACTAGAAATTGCACACATAGAGACTGTCTCAGATCATTGGAATCGCCTGGATAGCACAGCCTTTATTTATCGTAGCACGCGCCAACTTCTCGGGCAATGTTGATCGTCCTCCCTTCATCAGGAGACGAAATTAGCGCGAGAGCAGTAATCTGCTCCCGAGAAGGTGCCGCGTGCGACGATAAAAGGGGGCCCCGGACGTTCAGCTGAGACGCCCCGCTGTTAACACGTTGAATGCCACGCCGGTTTTACAGAAATTGTCCGTGGCGCCACGATGAATTTTCTTTTATGCGATACATATAATGTTGAAATATTATCTGCAATAGATAAGTTGTAGTGTACAACCATGCTTGACATGTTAATTGGGACAGGGGTCACCGTTTGAATTGACGATGGTAATAATACCAAATTTTAGATATTGACATTTGTTTGAAATTATATATATATTCCTATCAATTTGGGGGCGTCGGTCACCGGTGGCCCCCATGGCGTCACCCCCAAGTTAATTGCCGGTCACCGGTGGCCCCATGGCGTCACCGCCAAGTTAAGCGCCGGTCATCAGTGGCCCCCATGGCGTCACCGCCAAGTTAAGCGCCGGTCACCGGTGACCCCCGTGGCATTCAACGTGTTTAACGAGCGAATCGTAGTGCACTGGTATCGCACGGGAAACAGTGGAATTACATAGTCGCAGACGCGGGGGAGGTATCATTTTCGTCGGCTTGGCCTCTGCACCGTCTACATGGCGAACGATAACGAAACAAAGATCATTTTCGGTAATGCGAACAGAGCGAATCTCTTTGTTTGAGATAATCACCGTCGGAGGCTTTGATGATCATCGAATGTTTTCGACCGTTTACGACATCCGTCATCTACCAAAGAGAGACTAAAAAGCTCAATTTCGTTCCGAGAACTTTATTGCGTTCAGAATCGTCGAGATATTAAGGGGGACAAAAACACAAATAAATGTATCATATGAAAAAGATGAAAAAAAAAAGAAAAAAACAGAGACGTTTTTTGTACGAGACAGATGGCGAGGAGAGGGGTTTTAGAGGATGAACCGCTTTGAATTACTTCGTCGCGCTTGATATTGCCGGGCGGGTCAGCGTAACACTTCCGGTGTCGATAATTCTCGCGAGCGGCCTTGTCACAAGTCGGGATCGCGTTGGTTACCCGGGGAATATAGTTAATTAATGATACGTCTTAAGTGAACGCTCCGACACACCGCATCATGTACATGCACATATCCTCGAGTAGTTTAAGTAGCCGTAAAGCGATCAACATTTTCGAAACCGAACTCGCGACGTCTTTCACCGAATTCACGACCGAGATAACACACCGATTGTATAATAATACAAGGGTGTGCCGTTATATCTGGCGAGGTGATCGAAATTTCGTCTATCCGAACCGAGGTGATCTAAAGCCGATTAACCTGTTAAGAGCGGCGAATTTAGTTTTAAAAACCCCTCACAGTGCGCGGAATTAAAATCAAGCGATGACGTGTATACACGACGAACGCAGGGCGAAATGGTCCTATTACAAATTTTACGAAAAACGAGAAAGAACTAAATATTTATTTAAGGAAAACTTAGCAATTTATTTCTGAAAAATTATTGTTATTATAAATTTAAAAACTCTTAAATAATAATAAAATACATGAACAAGAAAGACGCGTGTAGAACAAAAAAAATTTTAAGAATTTCAATCGAGTTCGGTGTGATATTTCTCGAAACACGGTACCGCAGAAAGTGGGTACCTTCAGGTACATTTAGGCAATTTCTTCGCAAATCAACACTCGTTGTTGAAGTCGCGGCCTGTGCATGGAATTGGTTTCGGGTCCCATCCCACCACCCCCTCCGTATAAAATACTTAGCAGTTCTATTGGTAATATAAAGGAAACATCCCACCAAATTAATATTCTTATTGTATTTGATTAAAATTTCAAGTTTTCATAGTCGATGGGACGTAGCGAAAGGGTTAACGACGAGTAAACACGTCGAACGCACCGTAATAGAGATTTGGTTTGACGTGTATACACGAGAAACGCGCTTAACTGGTTAACGGCATGAAAAAAATGAAACAGCAGACAAAGTCGTTTGGCAATCGAAGAGGCGTGGCTCCGCGCGATGAGAAACATGCGAAACATCTTTGATGATTTTCTGATCGTATTTCGAGAGTCTTTGCCACCCCCGCCCGACAGGGGTGGAGGGAAAGATTGTAAATAGATTGCGACAGCGAGTTCCTGCAGATTACGAGAACGTCTTGCTAGTCTCTCTATTTCGATGAAAGGATATATCCGCGCGGAGAAAGATTGAAAGGACGAAAACTAGAGGATTAGCATCATCCCCCCATACGACAACGACGAAGGACATAAAATACCGAGTCAATTATGACTCGTACCGAACGTTCTTTTGTTATAGATAACAATAGACGTAGTTTCTACATGTTATTACAATGATATTTCTATATATATATATAATAGAGCGGAAAGAACGGGGAAAGGGGGAACGTGCTGCAAAAACAAAAACGTAGTCGATTTTATCCTCGACATGTTCGAACGTGTTCCGGGCACCTCAAAGCATCTTGTAGCATAACTCACTGTCACTCCATTCTTAGGGTACGACCTTCCGGGTCGAGGGCGAAGGTTCAAATACGCACAGTTTGTGTAGCTTAAGGGACAGCGAACGTGAAGCGATCGCGATCAACGATTGTATCGAATCAAATATTTTCGTGGGATCCGTGCCGCAATCGAGTGTCAGACGTTTCTTCTTCTTTTTTTTCAGGGATTGATTTCGAGAATTTCCGGGATATCTTGACAAAAGTTTCGTTCGAGTTCTCGGTGTTCCTTCGGAGATTTTACGCGGATTTTACGTGTCGAAATTTCGTTGTTTCGCGGTGAAATTAAGAGCATGAATGTGGTATCGTAATTTGTAATGTTGAAACTGGAATCACGGTCGCGGGTTGATTCGTGATCTCGTATCGAGGATTCTGAAACATAAACGCGGAAACGATTACTATAAATAATATGCTTCGAATAATGAAACATAAATCCATGTTTAGGTATAGATGGTAAATAGTTTGGTGGCCACGAGTGGAACGACAGCACAGATTCATTGTTAAACCATGAAATGTTGAAATCACCGAAACCATGTTTCGTTCTCGGAAATGTCTTTCCGTGTTGGAAAAGGATCCGGAGCGGTTTAAAAATCGAATGGTTTCAGCAGCGCATTTCGACGAACTATGTAATAATAGACAGTCTAATAATGTATTGATTTCGATCTTTTCTCGATGTGTTTGCAATCAAGTTCAAATTACGAAATTCGGGAATGGACGATGAGATAACGGTCAATGAAAACGAAACGAATCGAGAAAATATTTCATTGCGAACGTCGCTAAGGAAGGGACAAAACTTTCGAGAAGTTCCGATTTGTAATTAGAACGAGTTTCTACGTCCTTAATCACTCTTCAATTCATTTTGAACACTTTCAAATTCTAAGGAAACAAAATCTCTACCGGTAGTACGGATTCCTTCCCTTGGTAAGAAAGTATTTGAAAAATAAGAGGATACTTCGGTGACGAAAAGATGCTTCTATCGCGAAATTTGAAAAAAAAAAAAATAAAAGAACGTTTCTACTTTTAAAATAGCGAACAATTTTTATTGAGAGTCGTTCGAATGAAAAAGGTAGAGATTTTGCATAAAAACCAAGATTGTAGAATAAAATATATCCACATAAAAAGTTCTCGCACAAGAAGTTCCCGAGAAAATCAATGATGAACGTTTATCCGTTGGATCAACACGAACTCGCAAATAATTTCGAATATATTTTCCAATTGCTTTTCTCGTGAACGGAGTCTTAAAATGAACAAACTTCTTCGCTTGTATGATATAAAGATAGCTGTTAAATACCGTTAGACTGATGTTATTATCGTGTAATGTTTAAGGCTAACGTACTATAGTGATTCAGAGATTGTCGAAACACGAAATAATTCAGTCTGGACATAGGAATATTCGAAGAGTTCATATTTTATCGATATAATATATATAATTCCATTCGAATCCATTGGATAGGAAGTATAAATCCGGCCAAAACGATCGTCATTAACAGATTTTTACATGATTTCCCCATCGACGGCTAGCGATAAGAGTATCCAATCGTTTTTGAAGACACTTTCAAGCCGGTTAAAAACCTGTACAGACGAAATAAATCAAGAAACAAGTTTACAATCGTGCTTGTTAATTTTTATTGAAAGTATTCACATTAACAATATTGATTTATCGACTATCTTATAAGGATAAACGAGTAAGGTTCGCGTAATACTTACCAATAATATATGTTCCGACTCACAATACGACAAACAATGATTGATTCGGTTTGATCATGATTTATTTTCAATTCAATTAGAAAAATTGTTTTCTCCGATTGCGGGCAGTTCGAATGACAACGCCAATGGCAGTGGCCTAAGTGAAAAATTGGCTACGATAGCCTGTGTCCAAAAAAAGAGACAAAAGAACGTTAGACTTCGTTAACAAAATTAATTCGAACGAACAATGATCTGAGAAGTATGCAACTCACAGTCGTTTTTCGGAATAAATTATGATTCTGCGGACTACGTGGACACCTGTAAAAATCAAGCAAATAATTACTTGAGATTTTTTTTTGTTTTTGGACGTTTTAAAATAATGAACTCTATAAAGTAATTTTTCATCACGTGTAAATTTAAACGAAAGAAACATATCTGTCGCAAAAGCGACTCGTAGAGTTTAAACTGTTCCTTTATTGGCCTTAGTGTACATAGAAGATTCATTTATGATCGCTTCTTTTGTACGTGCGGAGAACTTAGCAAACGAGACTAGTTTCGACAGTGTAAAGAGAGTGTTTTTAGGTAAGCAAATGATTATTTTCAAGACCGATAAAGTTTATAACAAATAAAATCCACGACGGAAATATTTTTGGGGGAATGTAAAAAGGTAACGAAATCCTTTTGGTTCTGGTTTTTTGTAACTGTATCGCTCGAAATATTTCAAATATTGTATTCTTCCCCCAGCTTAGCGATTAAAATGGAGTCTAGACAGCATGCAACAAGGAAGAAATAAAATTTACAGCATAACAAAAATTGTATTCAACTTCCCATCGACCGATGTGTTTGTAACATTCTTTGTTGCATGTTCGTGTCCCAGAGGTAATATTAACATATACAACGCACACTATTGTAGATCTAAGGGTTTTTATAACGGTGCTCCAAAATATCTGAATATTTTCTCCTATTATCGCTTCTTAACAATATAGACGGAGACTTTAAGGAACATGTATCTTCGGCTTACACCATAGTACGCAGTAATTGTACATAGAGTCCATTAACGGGGGGAATGGGTGGTAAATGGGTAGGTGGTGTGAAATAAAGATGATATCACTGTTAACATTACTGTTAATAATCACATTAATTAATGAAACATTGATCAGTCTTTCAATGAGAAAAATCTGAAGCTTTAAAGGACCCTTAATTTTAAGTACGACGATTGTTTACTACAGCTATGTACCAGTGCACACAATTACAGAAGTAAGATAAAAGCTTGAATCCTTAACTTTTATGTACAAGAACGTTCCAGCAACATTGTTTTTATCAAAAACTATATAATAAAATCAATAGATGCGCGTCTAGAAAATTTTCCAATCGAAAATTTACTTGCCTCAGTTACACAGTCGGATTAAAAGATTTTGCTCACGGAGAAAATGATTTATTCAAAGCTCGTAAAAATAATCGTATCGTACAAATGACAAACCGCACCAGCTCTTATCTTCTTTTGAATCCGTATTTCTTTCTCTCGTAGAATAGATCCGTCTTCGAACTTCCGAGATTCACGATTTTCGGACAACCGTCCCTCTGGAAACGAAATACATTTTATTATCACAATGCATTTGAAAATGATCGCTCCATCGCAAACATAAATCTTGATCATTCGAATTCTACTGAAATTCTCGCGCCGCAATATTCGGTACAGCAGGTTGCAGCCTTACTGGCAGTCGATAATCCAATACTTCTTAAAATTAAACTTCTTCAACAAAATATCAAAATGTCTATAGTTATAGAACAAATATAAAACTCACATCTTTTTCTTGGATCGTGCATTCCTTGCAATAATATGCGTCCGAGACGCCGGGTCCACCGCAGATAACGCATCGACCCTGATAGGACCCGTAATTGCATTCGTCGCAAATTCTGACAAGAGTGCACGGTCGCACGTACGAATCGCATATCACACATTTACCGTCACATTTCTCGCACAATCTTCCAATAGCTGAAATCAGCAAATTTAAATAACACATACACATCGCAAAACTGTACAACCATAACCTCAAAACTCACCGACACCTGGTTGTTTTCTGCAGAAGATCAAATCAGGATGATGCTTAGCCATTTTCTAACGTACACGTAATTACTTAGGCACTAATAAATACAATTACGTTTAGATCCACTTGAAATTGTAGTTTCGTTGCTTAACAATTCACAAACTCAGAGTAAACAAGCACTTTGGTTTGTAATTTGATGTCATGCTTAAACTATGGCGTTGAAACATAGATCGGCGTTTACATGAACGTGTGTCGCTACGCGGTGGAAATACGAACGAATGTCGTCGACATCTTAAAATCATTGCTCCATCGAAAAATATAATATACATATATATATAACTGCACAGAGTGCAGTTAACATTTAACTAAAATTTATTGTTATATATATATATAACAATATTGCACAGAGTGCAGTTAATATTTAACTAAAATTTATTGTTCTTTCGCCTGTGATATATTGCGTTCTAGATAGCAAACACGCTCCAATAATTGTACACATGTTCCTTCATGAAAACAAGTACAAAAGGCAATCTCGTATTCAAAATAAGCGTTTATAAATTGTAACAAATATTTCTGTTAACAACAAAGAAAATGACTGATCAGTCGATCCATGAAATGGCCTATCGTGGCAGAACATCAGATATCAAACGACTCTTGAACGAAAATGGGAAACTAAAAACTGAGAAGGACAATGTACGTACTTAATTTTAATACGTAGATGCGTTGTTTTTAGGTTATAGTGTCTGTTATAATGAATTGCGTTTTTTTAGATAGGGCGAATGTTAATTCATTGGGCAGCTCTTGGCGGTCACGATGATTTAGTTACATATTTATTGTCACTTGACGTGCCAGTTGATCCCACTGACGATGTGAGTATCCTCACTTCGTTGAAATATACATATATGTATGATATATATATATATATATATACATGACAAAATTGGGGCATCAAAAAATAAATCAAGAGTACAGAATTTTTCAGAAGAACTTACTGCATTGACATATAAAAAAACAAATGACAATACTGTAAAACGTAATTAAATTGCTCTTTGAAATTTGGTTAATTAATTACATCTTGTGTTGTTGTCGTTTGGGTTTCTTATGCGAAGTCGATGTAGCAGAGTCTTCTAAACAATCCTGTGCCCTTGGTTTACTTTTTGGTCGCTTAATTTTGCCGTAATTAATGTTTTCAAGCTACCCTGCATTGGGCAGATGTGGGCGACTGTGGCGCCTCTTTCGGAAGAACAACGAAGCTCCGAACGATGTCTGTACAGCGCCAATTCGTCCAGTGGAAAAACGCTCAAACTATTAGCCAAAATCGACAGTTGATAATNAGACGCCGGGTCCACCGCAGATAACGCATCGACCCTGATAGGACCCGTAATTGCATTCGTCGCAAATTCTGACAAGAGTGCACGGTCGCACGTACGAATCGCATATCACACATTTACCGTCACATTTCTCGCACAATCTTCCAATAGCTGAAATCAGCAAATTTAAATAACACATACACATCGCAAAACTGTACAACCATAACCTCAAAACTCACCGACACCTGGTTGTTTTCTGCAGAAGATCAAATCAGGATGATGCTTAGCCATTTTCTAACGTACACGTAATTACTTAGGCACTAATAAATACAATTACGTTTAGATCCACTTGAAATTGTAGTTTCGTTGCTTAACAATTCACAAACTCAGAGTAAACAAGCACTTTGGTTTGTAATTTGATGTCATGCTTAAACTATGGCGTTGAAACATAGATCGGCGTTTACATGAACGTGTGTCGCTACGCGGTGGAAATACGAACGAATGTCGTCGACATCTTAAAATCATTGCTCCATCGAAAAATATAATATACATATATATATAACTGCACAGAGTGCAGTTAACATTTAACTAAAATTTATTGTTATATATATATATAACAATATTGCACAGAGTGCAGTTAATATTTAACTAAAATTTATTGTTCTTTCGCCTGTGATATATTGCGTTCTAGATAGCAAACACGCTCCAATAATTGTACACATGTTCCTTCATGAAAACAAGTACAAAAGGCAATCTCGTATTCAAAATAAGCGTTTATAAATTGTAACAAATATTTCTGTTAACAACAAAGAAAATGACTGATCAGTCGATCCATGAAATGGCCTATCGTGGCAGAACATCAGATATCAAACGACTCTTGAACGAAAATGGGAAACTAAAAACTGAGAAGGACAATGTACGTACTTAATTTTAATACGTAGATGCGTTGTTTTTAGGTTATAGTGTCTGTTATAATGAATTGCGTTTTTTTAGATAGGGCGAATGTTAATTCATTGGGCAGCTCTTGGCGGTCACGATGATTTAGTTACATATTTATTGTCACTTGACGTGCCAGTTGATCCCACTGACGATGTGAGTATCCTCACTTCGTTGAAATATACATATATGTATGATATATATATATATATATATACATGACAAAATTGGGGCATCAAAAAATAAATCAAGAGTACAGAATTTTTCAGAAGAACTTACTGCATTGACATATAAAAAAACAAATGACAATACTGTAAAACGTAATTAAATTGCTCTTTGAAATTTGGTTAATTAATTACATCTTGTGTTGTTGTCGTTTGGGTTTCTTATGCGAAGTCGATGTAGCAGAGTCTTCTAAACAATCCTGTGCCCTTGGTTTACTTTTTGGTCGCTTAATTTTGCCGTAATTAATGTTTTCAAGCTACCCTGCATTGGGCAGATGTGGGCGACTGTGGCGCCTCTTTCGGAAGAACAACGAAGCTCCGAACGATGTCTGTACAGCGCCAATTCGTCCAGTGGAAAAACGCTCAAACTATTAGCCAAAATCGACAGTTGATAATTTTGACTAATAGTTTGAGCGTTTCTCCACTGGACGAATTGGCGCTGTACGGACATCGAAAGGAGCTTCGTTGTTCTTCCGAAAGAGGCGCAACAGTCGTCCATATATGGACAATGCGTGGTCGACTAAAAACATTAATTATGGCAAAATTATGACATAAGAAAGAAAACGAAGGGCATGGAAGTGTTCACGAGAATCTACTGTATTACCCAAAATGATTACTTATTATAAATAATTGCTTATTTTTAGACAGACATGACGCCATTAATTTTGGCGGCATCGGCAGGTCGCGAAAAGGTAGTGAAAATCTTATTAAAAGAGGGTGCAAACATTAATGCAAGAACACAAACAGGCCATTCAGCATTGCAATATGCTGCATCGAAGAATTGGAAGTCGATTTGTGTAGCATTACTAGAAAAAGACGCTGACGTAAATATCGTTGATGATCGTGGTGCAACACCGCTGCATAGGGCTGCCTCAAAAGGCAACATTGCCATTGTGAAGCTTCTTTTAGAGTATGATTTAAAAATAGGTTTGTATTTTATATATTAGATGCCTTTTCGTAAATTGAACAATTTAAATAATTTTTACTTGTTTACAGACAGCAAAGACGCTGACGGCAATACTGCATTGCATTTAGCATGTGAGGAGGATCGAGTTGAGGAGGCGAAAATGTTAGTTTATAATGGCGCCAATTTGAATATACAGAATAAAGAGAAAAAGACGCCACTGGATCTCGCTAGGCTGGGATTGCAGCGAGTATTGAAAGAGATCGAACAAAATGACCCTTGAGTTAATTTCACGTCTAGTATAATTTTTTACATTGTTATGCAACAAATGATGCAATCGATTTTTATTTGATCAATGTATTTATTAAATAAAATTCAAAGTAAATATTTTCAGCGCATGTAGCTTGTTTGGTAACATGACCGGCAGCGTTACAAATTATGTACAACCATTAAAAAATTCCTTCGAACAATTATTGCAACGAATCGTATTGTTATGGCAATTTATTCAATTATTGAAAATCACTGACCTGAGTAACAATACCTCTACCATTCAGTTCCCAGCATATATTATAGTGTTTGATTACACCTATGTATAAAAAAGTTTCATTGGTCAGATCATGGTAAACGTTTTCTCAACCCCCTTTTGCATAAAAAAATAAATAAAAAAGATGCAAGGTGGCAGGGATTTGTTTACAGAAATTTTGGATGGTTTATAAAAAATACGTTCACAGATACTACAACTTTTATCCCACATCCAATGATTATTCTTAAGAGTAAGGAACTCCGAAAAATGTTCGATCCGATGTTTCCATTTCTTTTTTTGTGTTTCTGCATCATATTGGTGTTAGTAAATATAGAAACATGAGAGTACAATAGCATCGTCTTATCAGTTAAATAAAAAAATAAGTATATTAAAGTCTAAGTAATTTATGGCCACATTCACACACGTCTACGCTGATAATAATCAACGTTGCAAGGCATACATGTAAACGATTGTACATTGATACAAAATTTTACAGCAAAAGATTACTAAGGATTCGTTTACTATTGTTATTATAAATCCTCGGATTAGTTAATCCCGATGAAAAAAATGTTCCACCGTAAATATAATCAAGATATACATCATTTAAAAACTGCTATTACGCACAGCGATTACAAATGGAAACGGCAACCAATGGGACACAGTTTTAACACTTATCCAAAAATCGAAGAATGGAAGTAGTCGGTTTCAATTTTGCACGCCTAAATAATTATAAAAATCTGTTTAAGTATCAATTCCACGTTGGTAGCATATTGTTGCACATGAAGTGGTCATTCACCAGTAATAATTAACTCTAGTGATAATTAAGGACACGTATAAAAATTGGAACAGTCCTTTTTATCATTATTTTTCATATATCACAAAAGATTCGAAACCTTCAAAAATCGCTGGCCTTGCTTAAGGAAATTTTTGTAATCTACCGCAGACCATTTTCAAATATAAAACTCAACAATACTAATCACTTGATGCGCAACATTATAATCGTCGACGTTAACACACTTATTCCGACGGACACAATTTATTAGAGGGTAGTATCCTCCCTTATTTATGAAATTATAATTTATTCCTTAGCAACTAAATTCGTCGAAAATGTGTATAACGTTTATTAAGTGTACTCCGGAGATGCTTAGATTTAATTAGAGTAATTGCGACCAATAATGGTCCGACAGTTAAGTGGCAGTTCGATCTCGAATTTGGAAAGCCCGCCTAAGAAGTCACTAGAAAGCCGTTTAACGTAAAAAAGCAGGCCAGTTCAGTTCGTGTAGAATCACTTAGCCGTATCAAAAAATATTATAGTCCTATACATATATATGTATAATATATATACATATATATGGAGAGAGAAAGAGAGAGAGAGAGAGAGAGAGAGTGAGAGTATACGATAAGGCGTGTTACTTCAAGGAATTACTCCCGTCCTCTATAAAACTCGTAAAAACGTTTGATGACAGTATCAAGATTTTCTAGCTGAACCGGTTCTCCGTTTAAAAAAAATCTAGCTGTATAAAAACCGTTTTCTTTTCACTGTTCTCTGAATGCGGCGTAATCTGAATATGTAAATACGTACATACACAGAATATCGATATTTTCTTCAAATGATTTTTTGCAGCAAGTGCTTTTGAAAAAATTACCCTGCAACTTGGTGGGCGGTGGTTATTCGTAAAGTTGCAAATTTCTTTTGGAAATTTTTGTATCAGGATGAAATCTGGATAAAATTTCGGAGTTTCTGAAAAATTTTTCTTTTATTAAGCTTGTTTACAAAAGATACAATCGTCCAGTGAACTTTGCAAAATAAAAGTTTATTTTCAATTGAAAATTTGCAACTTCATTCGACAATACCTCCTTGTAGGCGCGCTTAGTTTAGGGCGTGTGTTCATTGCACACTTTCTGCACAAAATCACCCCCATACAAATACGTATAACCCGCCCGTTAATCTCTTTTTGTCTTGTTCTTCAAAATACAATTTTTTTTTATTTGTCTCGCACCATTGCCACTAGTTTTAAACATTTTCTTCACTTCGGTTGTCACGTTGATCATGAATACTGCTCTGTCATATTATACATACAGCATATCTTCCGTAGCATCGCGCGACATTATCGAGGTACTGCGAAACGCGATGCTACGGAAGAAGAAGCGTATTCTTTTTTTCTTTTCGTATAAATATTGACAAAAAGAGGTTAAAGCACGTTGCGTTTGAATGCACGAGAAATGCACACGTTGTAAAAAATGCATGTATAAAAACGTTCCCGTTTCTCTTCCCTCCTTTATTTCACACGGCGATCTCGTGTAGAAAAAATTCAATTTCACACGCACCGAAAAGTTCCCAAATGATCATCATCATGCAGTAACATTATCGACAAATCAATCTTGACGAAGTAATCGATTTTATAAAAAAGATTTTTGGAGCGGTTTTCGATGCGTTCGAAATCAGATCACATGAAACGAAGAAGTTCTTGATCACCTCCGATGAATCGCGATCATCGATTTCCGGTTCGTTCCGACAGGCTAGCACACAGGTTCCAAAAACAAACGAAAATTGTAGCTCGAAGGGGGTAGAAACAAAACAGAAAAACTTAAACGAGACGCTAAAGAGTATGAATTCTTCTTAAAAATAATAATACTTTCTCTTCGAAAGCCGACGTTCCGAGTTCGAAAATTCACTCTCTTCGGAATCATTGAATACTTTGTGGCGTGAAATTTTGTTTAAACAGATTACTGGCCGTCAGTAACAGCGAAATCCATCGACGGAAAGTTAGACAGTTCTTGGCCTCTCGGAACGACCCGACGAATCGTTGGCTCGATGATTAAAAACAATTACAAATAACATATTACGATTCTTTTGCGATAATAATAATAATAATAATAATTAATATAACTATAATATAATAGATATTAATGCTGCCCTAAATGTGGTGTTAATTCGTTATCGATTATGCAGCCCCAATAATATATTTCTAGTCTCGATATTACCCGGCATGATGTGGTAGCATTTCCCGCAAAGAACGATGAGACACCATGATTCTGAGAATTTCTATGGTAAAGCTTGTACAAAGTATGGCATCCCAGTGTCGTAAATCTGCATGAGAAAGGTCGGTGGAGAGTTTACCCCGACGAGCGAACAGTTTCTAATGATTTCGTTCTGGTGGAATTGCTGGGGCTCGTCAATCTTTGCGGAACTAGGGTAAAATACTACTCAGTACGGCTCTGCCGAGTCTCTTATGTACAGAAGGAAGCCGCCCTCATCTAATGGCATCGTCGGGCGCACGGGAAATTTGAATCCCAACGCGAACCGCGCCGAAGCCGCGCGCCCCATGAACCTTGGTTTTCTTTTTTTACGGGTTTCCTGCGTTGTGAGGGTTCAGTAAATAATTGTTGTATCCTCTTGGAGTTTAATTGACGGTCTCTTCGCCGTCGATGCTCTCGTCCTGCGTTGTCGAGTCGTCCCCGGAGCCGCCGGTCTGAACGGAACCGCGTTTCAGACGTGTCGAACTTAGGCTTATTGGAGGACCACCGCGTCTGTTAAAAAAATAAATTGCGTTAATCAAAACATTATAACAATTTACACGAAATACAGCAATGGTTCTAAAATTGCAGCTTCCCACACACACCCATGTTGGTGGAACCATTGCCGTTAACAAGGGAACATCTCCAACTGGGAAGTTAAGAAAATTATGGAACTTTGGGAATACAGTTTCCAAAGTTTTAATCATCTTTTGACATTCCTAATTGGCGATCTTCCCTAGTTATATCTAAGTCAGATATTTTTCTCTAGCGTTCTCCTTTGGAAATTAAAATTAGGTTTTTTTTTGACTATCCTAAACGGTATTCTGAATAACTAACCGACGCGAATGGAAATCTTCGAGTCGGAAGGGTTTCTGTAACACTTTCTTCCGGTAGAACATTACCTTTTCTTTTTTCCATGGCACCTAGATGTTATTAAAAATACCATTAAAATATTAATATACTGCACAGTTGTGACATCGAACGAGAACACCTGAATATTTCTGTTAGAAATATTTAAGTGTTTTAGTTTCTTTAACTTCCATCATCACAGAATATCATTTAGAATGCAATGAATGAATAATCGTTAAAAACAGGGACTTAAAACCGGTACAATTGGAAACCATTATAGGTACTGCACATCAGTCTCGGTATTTTCTAACGTATTATCGATAATAAAATAATACTGGTTCTAAATTTGTGCATAAACATACTTTGGAAATTATACTGAAATATAGTTTTTATAAGGGTTTCGCGGGTAGTGTCGAAAAATACTCCAGTATTTTATGTTCCGGCAGAAGTCCCCGGTTAAAAACACACCTGAGTTTGTTCTTAAGGTTTGCCACCTCCCTGTTAAGCTCCTCGTTGTTCTCCAGCATGTCGTCCATCTCCCTCTGCGCTTTCCTTTTCATGGCCTTGTGCCTACTGATCTCCTCCTCAGCTTCATCAAGCTGCCTCTTCAGCGCTTTCATCCTGGCGTTGACCTTCTCAGCCTGCTCCTTGTACTGATCCGAATTTCTCCTTTCGTCCTCCAACTGCAAACTCAATTCTTTCAGTTTCTTCTCCAGCTTCCTATTAATCTTCTGCTGTGCGAATCTCTCCTTAGCTTCGGTCTCCAGCTGTTCGTCAAGATTATTGATCTTGGACTCCATCTGTTGTATCGTGGCCTTGGTCTTCGCCCTCTGGGCAGTTTCCAGCTCGGTCAGCTTGGCCTTGAGCTCTTTGTTTTGTCTTTCAAGCAGGAGCTTGTGCGACTCCAGCTTCTGCGTGGTAGATCTTTCAGTAGTCAAGTCATTTGTCAGCTGTTCGATCGTTATCTGAGCCTTTCTAGCCCTATCCATGAACAATTCCCCATTCGACTGTTCTTCCTCCAACTCTTCCTCGAGAGTCGCAATCCTAGCCTCCAGTCTCCGCTTTTCATCAAGCATCAGAGTTCCTTTGTTAGCATTATTATTCAATTCCTCCTGCAGCTCATCCCTCTCGTTTTCAGCAGCTCTTCTAGCACGCTCGCTGCTGGCGAAGTCCTCGGTCAACTGCATCAAATCCGCCTCCAGACTCTTCACTTTCCTCTCAGTTTCCTTAGCACTCGCTGCCAACTCGTCTCTAGCAGCTCTAGCCTCGTCTGTCTCCCTGGTGCTGTCTTTGATCTGCGCCTGCAGCTTCTTCAGCTGTTTCAACGCGTCCTCTTTGACCTTGTTGTGCATTTCGAGTTGTTGCTCGATGTCTTTGTAATCCGCTTCCATCTTTTTACGTTGTGCAATGGCCGCAGCTCTCTGTTTCCTCTCGTCTTCAAGCTCTGCTTCAAGATCGCGCAGCTGCTTCACTAGACCTCTTCGCTTCTCCTCGGCTTGTTCTTCTTTGGCTTGAAGATCTCGCTCGAACTGAGTTCTCAGGGCTTGCATGTTCACCTCTAGGCGCAGCTTGGCGTCCTCTGTGAACTGCAGCTCATCTTCGAGTTCTTCAACCTGGGAACGTTGCTCTGCCAACTGAGATTCCAAAGCTCGTTTTGCCCTTTCTAGCTCGTGAACGTTCTTGTCTGCTGTTCCTTGGTTGTTCACCAGCTCGTCAAGCTCCGATTGAAGACCTCGACGAACACGTTCGAGTTCTTCGACTTTCTCGTTCATTTCGTCAAGTTCTCGGGTCAGGGACAACACTCGGGTTTCTTTCTCTCGGGCCTCACGTTCTGCCGCATCTCGTTGCTCTGCGTACTGCTCTGACACTGCCTTCTCTTCAGCTAGCACCTTGAAGAGTTAAAAATAATAATTAAACAATCGCGGTGCAATCTGGAGAATTCGTGACACTGATTCTACTGTTACTTTATACGACAATGTAAACACATGGTATGGCTGAGTGTGAACTATGCGTTCATGAGACTTATAAATGGAGACGAACACCTTACGTACTTGTATAATTGTAGTAGCAAATTAACATTAATTAGATCAATTTAAAAGGTGTTTTCCAACTGGCATAGATACCTCTAATAACTTGCTTATTATTGATGACAGAGACAAATGTTTCTCAAAAATAGTTCGTAAGGTGCTGCAAAGATTCAATCCAAAAAGATAATATAACATCGAATGAGTAAGAATATTGTTATTAAAAACTCACAGAAAGTTCCTCAAACTATCGTTAATAATAAAAGAAAGTAATATTCATAAGTAACTCTAATTTACAACAGCGTAATAATTAATGCCAGAAATGTATAAACAATGTGTACAAGCTGCTTCTAACAAACTGAAATTCGTCTAATAATTACCTTGTCGAAATTCTTCTGCTTCTTTTCCAGTTCCAGCACCTTAGCTCTCTGCGTTTCGAGTTCAATAATACTATCCTCCAATTCCGCTTGAATCTTTTTCTTCGATTTATCCAGTTTATCGTTGGCAGCCTGCAGCTCCTCGACCTGTCTCTGAATCGCTTCCATATCTTTGAGGCACCTCTTTCTAGCTTCCTCCAAGGCCACAGCAGCTTCAGCTTCGTCCTCTGCTTTCTTTTTCGCCTCCGCCAATTGTACGATTAAGCCAAGTACCTGAACAAAATAATTAATTATTAATATAACTGTTTACGGTGCTAGCTTGATCATAAAAAAATCCGATCCCCATCCATACCTGTTTATCTAAGGCTCTCTTCGCTTCCTCCTCTTCCTCCAACTGATCATGCAAACTCTCTTTTTCACTCTCCAATGCTCTGAGCTTAGAGCTCAACGCCAACTTTTGCCTCGTTTCCTCCTCCAGTTGCTGCTGGAGCTCAGTAAATTGGGACTCACAAGTGGCAGAGGCCTTCAGAGCAGCCGAGGCTTTCAGCTCTGCAGCTTCCAGCTGCTGCATGATGCTCTCGGACTCCTGCTGCAGCTTCGTAACCCTCTCAACAAGCTCTTGTCTATTTCTTTCTACTTCGGCAAGCTTGGCATTGATTTCAGCAAGTTGTTGCTCCGCTTGTTTCCTCCTCCTATCAGATTCCTGTCTGCTAGCACTGACAGATCTCAGCTCTGAAGCTAAATCAGCATTCTCAGCCTCTAGAGTCCCCTTCGCTTTCTCTAACACTGCCTTAGTCTTCTTCAAGGCATCCATCTGTTCATTTATAGCTGTTAATTCCTGAGTGTGCTTGTGACGCATGTCCGCAAGCGTGGCCTCATGAACCGAGGTCTCCTCTTCGAGGTTCTTCTTTAGCGTCGCCAGTTCTTGCTCCCGCTTGCTTCTTAGTTCCTGCTGAGCAGCTGTGGTATCCAAAGAATCCAGCAATTCATTTTTCAAGGCCTCCAGTTCCTCGTTCAAATCGCGCTTTAGCTTCTCAGCCTTGCTCCTCGCAGCCTTTTCAGCCTCCAAATCTTCCTGTAACTCAGCCAGCTGAGACTCCAGTTCTCGCAACGCCTTCTGCGCGTGAGCCTTCGCCGCGCCCTCCTCGTCCATCTTCGCCATAACTTGATTTAATTCTTCCTCGCGTTTCCCCAATTGTAACTGCAACTCCTCCACCTGCGTCTTCCGTTCAGTCAGCTGTTCCTTCAAGTCTGAAACTTCCGTTTCAATCTTCCTCTTCGATCTGTCCACCTCCTGTCTCTGCTGATGATCCTTCAACAATCTCTCTTCCAGATCCGCAATGGTTGCCTCATGTTTAGCCTTCAGTTTGGACAAGTGCTTCGCCTTTTCCTCCTCCTCAGCGAGCGTCTGGGAAAGATCATTTGCTCTCTCCTCCAGGATCTTCTTTTCCTTTAACAATTTCTGATTTGTGTCATCAGACAGTGCCAGGTCCTCTTCCAGTTTCTTGATCTTAGCGTCGCATTGCACTTTTTCTAATTGCAGTTTCTGCCTGGCGGCTTCCTCTTCTTCCAACTGTTCCTCAAGGTCGCTGATGTTCAGTTGCAGCTTCTTCTTCTCTTGTGTCAGCGCTGCGCTCCTTTCCTCTTCTTCTTCGATCCTTGCTTCTAAATCATGAAGGATTTCTTCCAATTCCTGCTTTCTTGCTGCTAGTCTTGCCCTCATCTCCTCAGCCTCTGCGCATAACTCTACCTCGGCTTGCAGCTGCTCAGCTAATACTGTCTTTTCTTCGATAGCTTGCTGATATTTTCTTTCATACTCTTGTGAAGAATGCAACTGCAGTTCCAACTTGTCCCGCACTTGCTTCAGTTCATCCTCCTTCTGGGTTAATTTTTCTTCTTGCTTCGTGACCTCTAATAATGGCTTCACTTTGGTATATAAACGCCACCATTGCCAGTTTCTAAGTTTTAAATATGCTGCACAGTTCCTTTGAATGATCCTAATGGCGTTCAGTTGTTGAAGACGTTTCTGATAATTCCTACGAGCCAAGAAGCCGCGGCAGAACGCTTGGAAGTTGACGATTATGTCCGTGATTTTGTAGTCACGCTCTTCTTCAAGGTGAGCTAATACTCCGGCTCGGAAGAAGATCTTCGATTGACCTACTCGATAAAGATTGGGATCTAATTCCAGTGCCTGGATCTAAAATAAGAATGTGTATTTTATAAATGATATTAGAATATCTCAAAAGTTGAATATTACAATGAACTAACTATTATTTACCATTTTCTCACACGCCTTCTTCCCGTCCATGAAGCCTTTGGGGATAGCATTAGGTGTCAGGAGTTCGTATCTTTGCCTAAATTCTTGGAAGGGTATCCTGTTCGGGAATCCTTGACGGCAAATTCGAATTCCTTCCAAGACACCATTGCATCTCAGCTGCTCTAGTACCAGAGGAGCATCAATCTTCCCGGCCCGCTTCTCGTGATTAGGTATAATACATCTGACAAAGTTAGGATTAGTATTTCTGAGAGTAACCATTAGTTTCGCCAGTTGCTCTTTGTACAATTGTGAGACCGTTCTGAACATTCCTTTCCTGGTTCTCGCACCAAATTGTGTATCGGTTAAAGCCTGTTGGGCCATCCCAACGATCTCAGCATCCTTCCAGATATGACAGACGAAGGGATCCTGAGAGTTCTGCAGGAGACTGACCACATTTTCATTCAACGGATCCATGTTTTTCATCAACCACTTCGCAGCAGAGTAATCAACTTTCCCAGCATAATGTATAATAGCAAAGTCTGCGACACCTCTGAAGTCAGTCTTCATGAATTTCGGGTGCACACTGTGTGCTCCCACTAATTTCTCTACGAACGTCTTGTCCGTAGCTTTTGGGAACCAGCACTCTTCATCCAACAATGCCATGATACCTATTTAGGAATGAAAAGCAGCTGTTTAGTCTCAGCAAGTGAAACACGAATAGACTTCAAGATCTTTGATCTTACCCATGGGTTTGTCAATGAGATCTATGGTTGGCTGTAGATCCAGTCCGAAGTCTATGAACTTCCATTCGATGCCCTCCCTCTGATACTCTTCCTGCTCAAGAATAAACATAGTGTGATTGAACAGTTGTTGGAGTTTCTCATTCGTGTAGTTGATGCACAACTGTTCAAAGCTGTTCAGCTCGAAGATCTCGAAGCCGGCCATATCCAAGATGCCAATAAAACTGGCGCCTTGTCTCTTTGTACGATCCAGGGACCTGTTGATTCTATTTACAAGCCATCTGAACATCCTTTCGTAGCAGGCTTTGGAGATCGCTTCGACAGCAAACTCAACCTGCTCTTTGGTCTGGGCCTTGGTCACAAAATCCCTGCCAACCTTGATCCGTGGCTTTAAGAATGCTTTCGTCATCTCTGTAACGCTCAAGCCCAACAGATGGGAGATCTTCTGGGCAACCGTGTTGTCTGGTAGCGTGGCCTGGTCGGAATTTCTCTCCTGACGGAACTGCATCGAACCGAACAGCATCACCGCAGACACTATGCGGAAGATGGAAGAAAAATCTTCATTGGTCATTCCCATTATGTGCATCGACTTCACCGTCGAGAAGAACTCTGCCGAATCATCTACTCCTGGCACTGGTAGTGCGCCATTTGAGAGGAATGGATAATGTTTCGGATCCTCCAAAATAAACTCCTCTGAAAAATGTTGCAAATGTTATAGGATGCAAACAATATTTATAATGTGAAAAATTTCTTTCTCTTTGTTATCAGGCAGCTTCCACTCACTTTTCTGCTCTGCAGAAGCACCCGCGAGGAGCTGGTAGAATATGTGAAAGGTCCTTTCGTCCTTTGCTTGTCGAATTGCTCGCGATTTCTCCAAGAGATAAGTTTCTATGTTCGCTCCAGCTATATATCCCGATGCATCGAAGTTTATTCGGATGAATTTGCCCTAAATGAACGGGATAAATAAAAATTTTGCTGGGTTGATGGAATTTTTGGGCATGAATTATGAAATGAATTAAAAACGTTACTTACGAAACGCGAAGAGTTGTCGTTCTTTACTGTTTTCGCATTTCCGAAGGCCTCCAAAATGGGATTCGCTTGCAGAAGTTGCTGTTCCAATTCACCCTATTATCAAATATCATTTAATTAATGAAGACACGGCGCTTCAAGCTTCCAAGCAACAGACATATATCGCCATCGTCTGTTTAACTCTCTAATGCTTTCTAATTTAAGCTAATATTGTTATACACAAAAAATATGAGCATCTGTTAAAAAGAGAACGTATATTGTTACAGTCAAGAAGCGAATTTTTAGATTTTAACAGCAAAACTTTTATGCTAAAAAATTATAAATATATTAAATAATACTGCCCATAGTGTATGATTAAAGTAGTGAAATAATTGCGACATTCTAGCAGAATTTAATAATTCTCACAGCAACGGTTACAAAAGCGAAAAACTTTGAACGTTTTTAACTTTTCAAAAATATTAATAGACTACAAAGAGTTAAATTGTTTTAGTCATCCGCAGAAAATTAATCCTAAAATTAAATATATTAATAGACGAAACAACAAATGAGGAAGATCCGTAAACGTTTACGTCAATAATTCGATCATTTTAAATAACCACCTTCCTAAATTGTCGTTCTTGTTATGTTACATATTAGTAATTAATATACAATTAAAAGAACTTTTCTATTACCCACAGGCCACATCGATTTACAGAAAAAAATCGAAATAAATGAAAGAAACAATCACAAGCATACGATACGCATACATACGCAGGTACAAGCACGACACAGGACACATTAATAAGTAATTCAATCAATCGACTCTCACGTTAATTACCGCAAATTTATCCGAAACGCATCCCGAACCCTAAATCCAGTGAGCAGCGAGCAAGACATGGGAGATATTTGTGTTACCATTCTACAGAATCGTTCATTCTTTGTTAAATAAACAAACTATCTTAAAAATGTTCCCGTTAAATCAACACCAGCTTGTTAGTATTAAAAGTGTGATTAGAGTGGGCGGTGGAGGTCGTTTTCTCGCAAAATACAACACAAAAACAAATACACGATTAATTAGAGTACAATGATGCTAAACAATTTGTTTTCGTTAACTTTCAATCAATTCTACCATACATTAATTAGTTTTCAACCTATATGATTAATTCCAAAAATATTCTTATAAAATTTTTAATTCCAGTAAACGGGAAGTATAACAAATACGTTTGTTAAATAATTTATGTGATCGAACTTGGAAGTTGTAATGACTGCATCACGGTACTCAAGAACCAACTATTAAACAAGTGACAATACACAGTAATTATGAAATAATTACAAGAAAAAAACATTATTCTTAAATACAGTTCCTTCAAAATTTGTTTAATTTGGAATTTGCATTATTTCTTTATCAAAGCGATGAGGAAAACGAGGGTAAATAATAATAATTAAAAAAAAAAAATAGACAAAGAGCAGATGTAGCAGCGTAATTATTGCGTGAACAGAATTGTTGATCATTTTATTGTTTTGACTTACTATGATTAATGCTGGACACGGTGTCTAGGTGTGTTGTGGCCGTTGAAAGTCAGCACCGGGAACGAAAGAATGTGCAAAGTTAAATTCACGAGTCCAAGGTCAATTGTGCATTGTTGTTTCTATTTGCTTAAATGAAGCTTCCCTTGCGCACCAAATTAATTATTAAACAATTTGTACATTCGGACGAAGATTTATGTTTCGCATCAGAATTACAGAATAAGGGCTATCGGCTAGACACATACTCATTGCATCCATTTTCATTCATCTATTTAATTTCTTTTGCAATTGTTGGGGACATTTAAACGACTAAATATGCAATTCTAACATTTAAATAGAAACATTTCAAGAAGAAATGGTACAACAATCTCATTCTGCTCATCTCAAAGGGCAGATTCCTCTACTTTCTCTTTCCCAGATCGCAATATTCTAGTGGCCACTCTAAGAATCCAGCGTGAGAAAAGCACTATCTTTTCTTCGAAAATCTCATGAAACAGTCGTCTATAGACTCTACAAAATTTTCGACAAAAAATAGAGTCTACCGGACCAAACGAGCCCATAAAATCTCACGTACGACGCTTCGTTTCCGTTTTAGAACGATCCGAATGGAAGGCGCGCCGAAAAAAAGGCGATGTTTTTCCTGAAAGGATCACGCCGCAATAAATAATAATTCTAAGCATCGTTTCGACCCGATGGAATGCATAATTAATTCCACGGGATTAAACGGCGTGACGCGGCGGCGTCACGTGTTGCGCAAACCCTCGTTTAAACAATTTCGCGTTCGAAACGCAGCTGCCAGCAAGCGTCGAATTATGAAACGATGGCGACGCCGATTTTTTCCTATATAAGAGCAGAAGTTTCGAGGCGGCGCTCCGGTGACTCACAGAACTACTCGAGTGACTCAAAGCCGTGTTGGGCCGATAAGTGGATCGTTTCACTGAAAAAGGAAAGATCCTTCAAGAGCCAGTGATCTATGATGGCCTATCGCGATCGAAGAACAGGCTCATAGTATTCAACGGTCGCGCAACCGTCTCCGGCCAACGATCAATTGCGCAACGGTTTTTCCGCGCCAAAAAGTCAACATTCGTCCGATCGAAGCAGTTCGAAAACCATTGTGAGAAAAACGAACGTTAAACGCGGTTAAAAACTGCATCGATTGGACTATTTCAAAATGGATGATTTTGTTTAAGAAAATACATTTTTTCTTCGCGTTAATTGTTCAATTTACAGGGCATTGCACGAATGTGCAAACAAGATGACACCGTCTTGGGTGAAAGTGTAGGAAAAAGTGAAAGAGAAAGTACGTTGGAACTCGACGTTCTTATCGACGGTGGTCGATAAGGTAGGACTGCGGCGCGCGAGAATTTGAAAAGAAAACCGTCGACTAACGAACATGAAACAGGGCACCGTATAGAAACGGGAAATTATGAGAAGTCGAAGAAACGGAAATGAGACTGGAGATAAAATTCCAGGAGATAAAGTATTAAGAGTTTGCACAAATTTTGTTTGCTTTTGTTTGTTGAATCAACGGACTCGCTAGTTTGTTTACATACGCCGTCGTTAAAAGATCTCTTATCACCGGTAAGAAAACGATAAAAATTATAACGTAGTCTAGCGAAAAGAATGGTGCAGCCCAAAAATTTGAATAGCGAGCTCCTAAAAATATATATGTACACATGTCCACTCACAGTTCTCTATAAATAAGCTTCGATTGCAGAGTGTTGAAAGAGGAAACTCGGTGCGGGGATAAAGTATTTTTATGACAATTCGGGAGAAAATGGCTACTGTAAAAATAGTTGAAAAAAAGTACGCTACAAAGGAAAGTATGTACAAAAATTATGCTTCTCATAGACACGATCCTGTGATTGTATAGAAATACTATCACGCTTCTGTACACAAGTAAAATAACACTTTCAAAAAATACACTCTCGGAGTTTTTACATGTGCTATCTTTCATCAGCATCCAGTGGACTCCCCGAATCTAGTCGGTGAAAACGATCCAACCAGAGCAAACGTCCAATCAAATTAGTCTTGGAAAAAGAGAGGAAACCTGGAAGCATTTCGTGATTGGCTTACCGCGTTCGATTTTGGCTTTGAAGCAGCAACGTACGCCAAATATTGGATCACTTTCTTCGTGTTCTCGGTTTTTCCCGCGCCGGACTCGCCGGTGCATAAAATCGACTGGTCCTCCCGATCTATTAACAGAATTGCCAGAAGACATTACTTTATCGTTTCGCATCGCCGATGTATTTCGATAAATTCGTTTATCCTCATTTGTTCTATATAAACGTGGAACAGCGTTTCTTGATCCCAAGCTTAGTTCTCGAGTTTCAAATCAGCCGCGCCAATGTGTCAGCTGACAAACAGCTTGTTGCCCCACCCTCTGGGTAACGGACGCGCGCACAGTATTTTGAAATTTGATTTACTCGAAAATTAAGCCTTGTATCAAAAAATGTCTTTCCGCTGTTTTTATCCATTTTTGTATGGAGAATCGGATAACGTATTTTTTTACTACAACAAATTCGTCTCATTTACCCTGTAGCATGGAACGATATGCAGTATCTGTGATGGCGAAAACATGGGGCGGCACTTCATGTCTTTTGATACCCTTGTACCTCTCCATTATCTTTTCCGTGTAGATCGACAGCCTTTTATATGGGTTTACAACCACGCAGAAGAGTCCGGAGTACGTCTGTAATCACATAATTGATATCATAAGTAATTATATCACGAAGACAAAATTTGGCAATTCATAACTATATTTCCGTTCTGTTTTGACGGATAATTTGGTATGCTATCAAGTCTGACGCTTATATTATATAATATAATAAATAATAAATATATTATACAATATAAGTTTCAGACTTGATAGCATAATATAATAAATAATATAATATATAATATAAGCTTATATATATATTATATGCACCGTTAATCACGCTGTAATCATATATGAGCTTATTAACATCATAATGCGACATGATCGCCATTGTTCAATTACTATTCCATTTAGGAGAATGATATCGAGAAAAATTGGAACTCGATAATACAATAAAAAATTTACGATTAAAACTATTTCGATATTTCAATCGATCCGGGTTTTTAAACCCATAGAAAATTCAATTGATTTCATATTTTCCGTTGAAGACTAAAGCACCGACGAGACCGTTAGTAGCTTCAGCGCAGGATGAATAATTTACGAGTTGAACGAAAAGAAAAGATAAAAGTGTGCGTCACCATTCAAGAAAGATGAGCAAGCGGATCAGTTTACACTTTACACAAATTCATGCCGACGTGTAACCCTGAAAATATGTCGTTTAGAAAATGGTTGATACTCTTTCAAGGGTCAAATTAAATATTTATCGATCCATTTACCTTCCAATTATTTAATTTATACTTATCGAGTGTCGTCTAAAATTCATTTTACAACGTCTTCCTGCAATTCACTTCTCTTTGGTTTACATCTTATGCATTTACACTAAATTGTTGTTCGCTCCAGTATCGTCTAAATCTTATTTTGTAATTATGTTCTAGTCGTTTATTTGTATTTAATCAATAAAAATGTTTACTCTCTTAAGAATTGTTTATGATTTATTCTTCGAACGAAGATTGTTTATTTTACAGGCATGGTATAGAGCAGTTGTTCCAGACGGTTTTCCCTGAACAGTAGAGTTGTAACAATAGTCAGCGAGATAGGAATGGTACCGGTAGTGGTTTGATAAGAGGTTAAATAACTCTTGTTCGCCTCGGTACCAGAGATAAGAGGATAAAGGCAGGTTCATGGTGTCTTCACTGAAATAAACCGATGACCTAATAATCACTGGCAATAATCTTATTGTCACGCAACGTGGACCTTGTATTGTCAACTGCAGTCTATGTCCCAATCATATCTCCAGACATGCCCAGTCTTGACAATAATACTCCAAATATAAAATCTTAGACACCGTTATAATCAATCGAGCACTAACAAAATAAGATTGATCAGACAAAAATAAAAGGAATAATTCAATGAATTCTTTCAATGCAGATCACAAGATGAATTGATCCTTAAAAAAATCAAATAATTCATAAATTAGCCCATGCAATTCGAGCTTTCATTATACAGCAACAAATTTCTTAAAATACGATAGGACATTATAGAAATAATAATTGTATTGAAAGAATTGATGCACAGCTGATTCAATGTCCGTCGAAGATTCTCCCGTTTGTTAACCATATCGATGTCAAAAGGGTTCACAGTAAAGTGGTAATAATCCACCGCTATTTGATTCCCTTTTTTTTTAACAGAACTCCCTCTCCTCTCGAAGGGACTCCGAAACCGGTCTCTCTCCGTGAGTGTTGTGTCGTCGACCTGCCTAACATTCCTGCTTATATGTAGAGCTTACTAACAATCACCGCCTCCAACTGCCTCTTAAGGAAAACCGCATCTTTCCTCGTATTGGCTCTGTGGAACATCAAAAACCAACTTCGTTAAACTATCGTACACCGGCGCGAATCTGTTAAAAATCGTGTAACGAAATCTACCTAAATTGAAACCCGCCGTTAAAATTCCACGAAAAAAAAGAAAGTTCCATAACTCACAATGCAACGCGGTGCATCCTCCTTGCATTTTGTGCGGGAGAAAATCGAAAACGAGTTCTGGAATCCTTGAGATTCCTCTCCTCCTTAAAACTGTACTTTTCAGTCGGGCATTAAGAAATCCTCGATCGGTGTTCCCATTTGATCGAAACTCAATCAGTGATCAGAGTTCATGAAAAAAAGAATTTTGCAGAATGCGAGGAACAATGAGATCCCGTGGAACACACAACGGGGTCCAGATTACCTATTTTTCATTCTTTAATTGAACTGAAATGAAGAAGACAAGGGAGTAATAAAGCAGAAGCGTGAAAAAAAAAAAGGAAAGTAATAATAAACTTTGAGGAATGCGAAGGGAATCGAATCTTTTTAGAGATCGGTGCAAATAGAAGCAAATTTGTTAGGACCGAGCAGCGTAATAAGATAAGTAATAAAAATATAAAAGTGTGCAATAAAATGTGTGAAAAGTCAAACAAAAAGTTCGGAAACAAGGACAAATGAAATATCCCTGATTAACTGAATTTATAAAATGACTCGATTGCGCAGGGTGATTCACCGAACAGGTCTGCCATCCTTTTTCCTGAAACCGCCCGGTGCACTTTAACGCCTTTAAAGGGAAAGTTGCATAATTTAAGGCGTGCATACTGCACCCAATTTTGTCTACAGTTTGTTTCAACCGTTTCGAAACGCGATCTCTCACTCTCTCTCTCTCTTAAATAAGAAAGAAATGACACACGAGAGTAGAAAAATGATCGCTGTGATGAGTTCCTTGTGACGTCACGAAGGTTTGTGAAATAGAAAGTTCATGAGGCATCGCGTTCCTGGTACAGTGACGCATGCACCATGGAAATTTAGTGAATCCCCCATCGTTCTTATTTCGGTTTCCTGATTTCTCAGCTTCGACGACGAAATAAACGGAACTGCATGGCAATGAAAAATTCCCGACCGGCGAGATTATGGTACGCCGGACTATGGTGATGTTTTTGAATCGACTTAGAGGAAGCTGCACACGGTCGATTCAAACATGCAAATCTTTTTTCGGACTAGCTAACCTTTTCGGTTGCGCAGATCTTTATCTGATAGATCTTGGCTCGCACACGCTTCTAGAACCGATCCAGCGATCCGAAAATCTTCTGGCATCTTGTCCACGTGACAATGTCAATAAATTATCGATTTTTTTTAAGTGCCGCTTTTTATTTTTTAAGTGCGTCGCATCACAGGTTCTCAAGAAAAAGTACCATTTTCGTTTTGCGACCCGGTATCTCCTACGAAAAGAAATATTTTAAAAAATCATCTTAGGGATTCCGAAAGAAGAGACTTTCGCCATGAAAATGAGCCCAATTCCGTTGCTCTATCATTTTTTTCGTCGGAGTTACGACAACTTGAATTTTTGGCCTCCGAGGACCCAGCGTATTTTGACCATGGTGAAACGGTGAAAGAAAATGGTAAAAAGGAAGTTGAACTTGGTTGGGAAGAAGGAAGGAAGAAGGTGTCAAGGTAGGGAGAGGATATGGGTGTGTGACGGAGCGAATCTATCCCGGAATCTGTGCGGTTTCGTCAGAGAGTTCGGTTTCTTTCCTAAGAAGACCGAAACTGTTTGTTGACTATAAATGGCACGAAGTCTTCAGCGAAACTGAAGCTCTTTCTCTTTCTCTCTTTTACCAGCGACCGGTGCTGTGTACAGTACAGCAAGCCCGGCGTTTATGGCACCGCGAGGAAGCGGGTTAAGGACACTCCTCCTTATAAGGATTCCTCCTTGATCGGTCTCATTCTCTTTTCTTCTCGCTTAAATTTGATAGATCGAGAAGCGTTAAAGCTGCCACGATCTACTTTTACGCTAATTGTTACGCTAAACAACGATTTTCACTGGCTGAACACCAAAATCCGTTTACCAATTTCATTTGCCCCGACGAGTTCAATATCTTATATCCAATTTCTCTCATTTTTAGAAGTGAATTAAATTGTGTAACTTCCATAATTAAATTCTTTTGGTCGTTATGCTTGCAAATATTACTTTTGAAGTAGCTAACAAATTACTTATAGATTCATTATTCTCTTCATGAATATGGACCGAAAATAAATCACAAGATTAAAGCATTCTCAGAGGATCTATAGACTCAATCGTTCCTGAATTAATAACAAGACTATTCTTAATTAATTGAGCTCGTCCGTTTTTTTTTTATTTCCTGGATCATCTTATATTAATTGGAACATATTCTGAACAATGTTGCAGCTATAGCTTTAGCTGTCGGTCCAACAGCTTGGTTCATTGGAAAAAATTCATCGAACCTTGTCGACGATGGCAAAGATTCGTATAATTTCAGAACATTGCACGGAATGCGATATATTGCGGATCGAAAGAAGAAAAATCAGCACGTACGAGGCACATGCATGACGTCATTCCTTCGTGTCCTAGAATGCCTGCCATACGTAAGCAGATATTTCTATATCGTAAGGCCCAATCGCGAAACTCAAATTCTTTTTTAATTAATCCCAACGAAAATCAAAAAACTCGTCGCCAAATCCGAGTTCTATGAAACCTCTATTAACGGAACACCCGTTACCTAGACGCTATGATCTATTGAATCACCCCACAAAACAGATGCAAATTATTTCACACGTATAAATTTTATTGTATTATTTTATTATATCTGTGATTTCATATTTATTAACGTGATTATATATCATACCTTTTGGACTATAAAAACATAATTATCGATTTTCAAAAATGTAATGGGAAACTCGTAATTATTGATGGATCACCTGATATCGTTTATGATTTGAATATGCTTGAATTTTGAGGAATAAAAATGTTACGGTTCAAATATTTTGAAAAGGGGACCGTACTAGGTGGTCTCGTTCGATTCCCGATGCTCCCCCATCGTTCGTAACTTTGCACAAGCGTATCTCGTGTAACTGCAGATTACTTACTAAGGATACGTAAGTTTCACAAAGTAACCAGCGATAATGAAATTTCAAGGAAAACGTATAAGCCTGTAACTCTATCAGCTCGCTTCACACGCAATTATTTTATTTCCAAAATATTTTATATCGCTCCAAACTTGATTTCAATCGTATTCGAGTCTCAAATCAATTAAAAGTCACAAGTGCTGTTCTACTGATTCAAAGTAGGCCCAAAAGCTTACTGAACTCTTCATTAGAAGGTTCCTTTTACATATGACCCTAGACAAAATCGTTCGAACTATGATTATAGAGATAGCCCCTAAAAGGGTACTTATGAAAATGTTCCCTAAAATGACCCCTTCAACAAATTACTAAAACCATATTCTACATAGAAATTATCTTTATCAAATTACTCAAACATTTCTGTTAATAGTACAAACCCTAAAAATAACTGGAACCGCATTTACGAACATGGTCCCCTAACATGGCATTGAACTATTCATCACTCTAGATACATACTACCCTTAGAAATTTATTGGACTGTGTTCTATGCAATCTTTAGAAAGTTGCTGAATTATTTCTCTACCGATATGACCCCTAAAAATTATTAAAGCTGCATTCTTCGTGGTCGTGTAGGACCCGCCGAAAAAACACCGAAAGTTTCAATGGTCTTCAAACCAAAAAACGCGGTGACTCAATGTTACGTGGAAGTAAGATACGATACTTATATCAGTCGCTGATAACACCTAAGAGACGGGACGTACTGCGGCCGTCCAATAACATGAGAATCCTACCTTCCCTTGGTCTGGAATAATATTTTAAAGATCCCATTTCATTGATGAGAAATGTTCCATATATAATCGTTTAGAGTCATTTCTGATAGCATCAACAAGTAAATGCTCTATCATGAAGTACTTAAACTTAATGATAGGTAATGGTTGCAACACGATGTGCTGTCAATATTTGCTAGCACAGAGAATTTTACTTTTCACGATAAGAAACGATAAAGATCATTAGAACGATGGAAAAATCGATTTACGACTGCAAGCTAGTGATAACTTTTGAAATTAATTGCTTTTCACGTGAAAATCGCATTTTCAACTTTGGCAACTCTTGAATAGAATAATATATTTTTGTATTGCACTACGAACATTTAAGCTTGTTTAAATATCATCAAAAAATGTTTTGGAAAAAATGCAAAATTTTTCATTTCGAGAATGTTTTGCTCTTAGTTATTAGTTAGTTAGTTAGTTATACCTTAGTTATATAGTTAATTATACCTTTTAATAACAATGCAAACATGTTTAAATTTATGCTTTGCTTGCTACCAGGAATAATTTATTGATTATTTGAGAAAAAGTCTGAGATTATTCCAATTTTTCCTGCTGAGATAAGCACTCACTACTGTATATGTACTCTGGCCTAAATTATCAAAAGTAATAACTCGTTTAAGACATTTATATGTCCCCAATGTGAAAACATTGTGATCAGTATTATTCTTACTATCTATGATCTGAAAGTTTTAGTAGTATGATAGTGAATATCAAAAATAGTAAGCACTTACTAGATAATTAATGAGATAGTAAAACTGCTAGACCTAGGCTTAGCAGATGCTTGACCTAGGTCAGTACCATGTTTACATCTTCATGTATTTCTTTTTCTACGATCAAAACAATATTTCCTCTAATTTTCATGAGCTTTCCTTATTCTAGTGAAATAAAGTTTTTGTTTAACTCTCATTGATACAAACTTTTGATCGTATTATTTCAATTATCAACAATATGGTCAAGCTTATATTGTTTCGATGTTACATATTCCTCAGATGCTATCTGATAATATCTAATAATAATCTTGTAACATTAGATTACAGCAATCATTGTCTTTGGGTCTGTTATCATTTAGTTCTTTCTAATTTCATCGCTATGAATCCAATAAAAGAACTACAATCATTTCTTAAAGACTATAATATGCACTCAATGATTTATCTTAGTATACATGTTAGTATAGATCATAGTTTCAACACAAAATAAGAAATCACTCGATATAACATGATCTAATAACTTATCATTTGAAACAAGGTTGGAAAGCTTCTTTCTATAGTATTCATTTAGAAACTCATTAAGAATAATGTGTTCCTACTTCACAGATACAATATTCAACAAACCATAATGTATCCTTTAATGTCACAAGAAACCCAGAATTTCCTATATCCTCGTACTGGGGTTTATAATTTCAATTAGAGATGTCAGTGGATGTCATCAAATACCACATAGTGTACATCTCATTCCTAACTAATAACATCCTCTGATGGATGAACTGTTAACGCAAGGAGCACCAGATATGAAATTCACAATGCTACAGCTGATTTTATACTCCTCAAATTGCCAAGGTCAAGAAAACCTCCGAAACGCCATGCTGCAACCCTGAAATCTGCATGATCAAGAGCTATCTCTTGTCGAAACTCCGATGACAGTAAAGTAGCGAAATCTGTCAAACTCACATAGATGAGGCCAGAGTAGTATCTGTCTTTGAGGTTATGCAGCACGGAGGCTTCGTTGAGGCACGTCAGCTCGGCCATGTCCTCGACCTTGTCGTACTTCGGCGGATTCATTTTCTGGATGTCGTCCTTGGCGACGTGCACGCGTTTTCCCGTCTCGGCGATCTCGACCTCGACCTCGTCGCCGCGCTCGCCTTTGATCCCAGCCGCGACAAAGCCCTGGGTGTCGTGCGGCACCCAGACGAGTTTCTTTTGCGTCCATTCGGCCTGGGTCGCCGGATCGTTGAAATTGTTCCTGTCAACGGAAAGGAACCGCAGCTCGGGGTCCGAGTGGTCCACCCTCGAGTCGACGTCCGCCATTTTTGTTTTTTGAGATCACTAGCTGGTTGAGCCGGCTTCAGGAACGAGCGATTCCAAAGACGATCCTCCAGAGACTGGCCGCTCCGTGACAGGGACGCACATGTAACTGTCCACACAAAACCCGGTCTTTTCCCCGTTGTTCGTTCCCAGTGTTCGTTCCTCGGCGGCGGCTCGGACAATGGCGAGGAGAGGCTCGAACGGCACCTGGTCTGTTCTACTCCGAGGTACGTAGTTATTCTACAGCCTTCAATGCTCCGGGAGATTGTTTTCTTTATCGCACCGCGCAGCCATCTTCTTTCTTCTTTCGAAGAAGTCGAGCGGTGGGGGGGCGTTACGTAGATGCACCGTATGGCGGCGCACGAGTCGACGCGTGACGTGGTCCTCGAGGCACCTCATTGGCCGAATTGTGGGCGCGTCAACCAGTCGAAACCGTCGATACGTAAAAGGTTTTCTGTAAAGTGAAGCGACCCATCTATTATTTCTATACGGTATGGTTTTTAACCGTTATTTTAAGCCATAAAATTTAAGGTGTGCAATATTGTTTTTCTGCAGACGAATCGAGAATCTCATACCGAATTCTATATTTTCGTCATTTTCAAAATATTATTTTCGTTTCGATTATTAAACGAGAATGTGCGTAAAATTTGTTAGAATCGCTATACTTGTTGTAAAACGAATATAACGAACAACGTTACTGCTGTTTTTATATTTTAGAAGTAAAAATGTATTTTATATTTGATCCCCACTTCAAACTATTATTTTGAAAGTATTCCGTACTTTCGAATACAATTAAATTATTACCGTTGTCCTAATCATAAATGTTCTATTTAAATCTCTTATCTTGGATATCGTCTTTTACATGTTGGTATGAACAGGTATCTCGAAAGTAAACTTACTTGTTAATTTGTGGAATGAATATTTCGGTTCAGTTGAAAAAGTTCGTTGACTTGATTACGTACATTGCAGTGTTTTGTGCGCATGCGTCTTTTAAAGTCATAAAAAGTCACGCTCACTTTATGGAGAACTGTTACTACGCATGCGCCAAATTCGTACGAAATTTAAAAATAATTTAATATACATGTGAATATCGTTTTATGTTAAATAATATAACAATCTGATGCCAACTATGAGAAATTTGGTACAGAAATTAAATCTTGAATTTACAAGTTATTAGATTTTTTGTTTATAATCAAAGCTACCATTATAATATCATTTAAAATTTTATGTATAGAGTTTTACGCAACCGATGTAACAACCACAGCGAGCATAATTCTATACATATATACTTGTCATAATTGTTTAAGTACACTGTCAACTATGACCTCGTTTATCAATTAATACAGATAAACAACCCACAAATTGATATGTATTATCCCTACCATCAGCCTCAGTGTCACGAGATCTTTCGATTCGAGAGTCTAAAGAATTATTGGCAAGAATACTCTACGTTTATAAAAGTCTGTTATTTACTTGTAGGTATTGCTTAATATTCACATGTATTAATAATATTAATATTATAAATTAATTATATTTACACATACAATTTTCTAAATTTGCATGAAATATCTACTACTATCCACAAATTCTTTTACAGACTTACCGAATAAAATAAACTGTTTCAGCAGTTTTAATATTACAATTCCTTTATTTGTTATAAGCACTTTTGTTAATAAAAAATTTTGCATTGTTTCTCGTAGGTTATACGCAACGCTCTTTGATCTTTTGCATATTTATTATATGTAAAGTATAAATTGTTTATCAGTTGATACAGTGGTTAATACAAAAGAAATATTAACATGTTTTATGAACAGCAAAGTTCTTCAAACCTTTCTGACAATTTCAAAATCGTAAGTACATGTATCTAATTTTTTCTGCAGATTTCAAACTATGTAAAATACATTTTTTTCAGAACCATATTATCGATCTTCGAAGTGATACTTTAACAAAGCCAACACGGAGAATGAGAGAAGCAATGCACAACGCAGTAGTTGGTGATGACGTTTTTCACGAAGATCCAACAGTTAAAAGTAAATATACAGTGATTTGTAAATTGTGGTACGCTTTAAATCGAGTTTGGAAAAAGTAGACGTGTCTGTTCATAAGCTGACGATTTTACTTGTGATTACTAAAGCGCGCGAATTTTCAAACACGATTTTTTTAAGGAACAGAATGTCATGTGGAAAAGTGTTTTTCTTTCTTTTTTTCTTTCTTTCTTCCTCTTATTCTTTCTTTATTTCTTTCATTCTTCTATATAGAATCACCTCCTGGCCAATTATGCAGTGATATTGCACTAAAAAATTACCTAATTAATTAACATTTTATTAAATAATGAACTTACAGTACTAGAACAGAAGGCAGCTAGCCTGGTGGGAATGGAAGCAGCGATATTCGTGCCCACTGGAACAATGGGAAACTTGATTGCCAGTATGTGTAATATATCTTACTCTAATGATTTACCAAATTTCTTTTCTCATATCAATTTTGTTGAACTCAAGTCATCAACCATTGCGATGTCAGAGGAAGTGAAGCATACTGTGGCTCAGGATGTCATGCTTTGCTCCATGAACAAGGTGGTGCAGCCCAAGTAGGAGGCGTGAATCTTAGAGCTTTGCAAAACAATCCTGATGGTTCCTTTGACATTCATGAACTGGCATGCAAACTTAGAAAGGACAGAGACCATGAGCCAATTTCAAAATTGGTCCTAGTAGAAAACACAATCAGTGGAAAAATAGTTCCCCATAGTTGGATTACAAAACTAGTTGCTTTCTGTAAGGACCATAATCTGAAGTTACACATGGATGGAGCGAGACTCTTTCATGCAAGCGTAGGATCTGGGAAGTCTGCTGCAGAAATTGTTGCAGGCTTTGACTCTGTAAGCTTCTGTCTCAGTAAAGGTTTAGGTACATTTTCGTAGTATATTTTTTTAAACTGACTGAATGTGTTTTGTCTTGTTTCACATGAAATTATTTTGGTAAGGTGCCCCTGTCGGTTCCATGCTCTGTGGGGGTAAGGAGTTTGTCAAGAAAGCCAGGAGGGTGAGGAAGGTGCTGGGAGGGGGAATGAGACAAGTTGGTGTCTTAGCAGCAGCTGGATTAGTGGCTCTTGAAGACTCGATTCCAATCTTGAAAGAGGACCACAGAAGAGCCTCCCTCTTAGCCAAATCGATAAAAGCAACTGCATCAAGTATCACATTTCAAGGACGACCAATGTTTTCATTAGATTTAGAGACAGTACAGGCGAATATGGTTTTCGTTGAGGTTGATGCAAGTATCAATGCCGCGAAATTTGCAAAACGTCTACGAAACGTTTGCAACGACGATGAAGACGATAAAGTAATCGTCAAATGCTTGGCTTTAAACGATTCGATTGTCAGGTTTGTATTATATCATGAAATTACGGATGAACAGTTGTGTTTGGCCATCAAGAAGATTAGGTATGTCATGGAGAATATGCTACACTGATCGGTGTTCAGAAATTATTGTTACATAGTATATACTGAATATGTAAGTGTTTTTAAAGTTAAGTTTCAAGTTAATAAAATAAAAATTAGAATACTTCATTTGTGGCATAGACTTATCTGATAAAACAGTATCTGTGTGTGAACCCGTGGGTTCGAAACCATGCTAACGGGGAACCCTTGGGTTAGGAAGGGAGCCATAATGAATACAGACTTTGTTCTGACTCCTTTCGGGTCCCTAAAGCAGCAACCTCCTCGCGGTGAGACCCGGGCAATCGATATCATTCTCGGTATAGAAAATGTTGCGAATTGCAATGAGTTTTGAGTCGAGGATGATATTGAGCTAATAGCTGCAAATTTTGAATTTCTTTTATATTGTAAAGTAGAGAATAAAGCTGTAACAAATATATTGTATGATTTTTAAATAAAGTGTGAGGATTTATATATATTTTTGTCTTACTCTTTCCTAATCATAAATGATGCTATTATGCTACGTTCATTGACAATTAATTTATAGGAATTTAATTGTGTTTCTTGAATGTACATACTTCTACATTAGTTCATGTGGTCATGTAGAAATCTACTGATACGAGATCCGCCGAGCCGAAGGGGAGCGAGCGCTCGCATTGGCATTATTCGCAACTGCATTACATATGTATAAGTGTGCATGAAACAATAAAAATTGTTACTTTATGTAATATTATATTCGTTATTTGTAGTTGTAAATGGAGTAAAATGTATCGTTATTATTTAAACAATCATTTTATTTAATTGCCTTCGATTTGAAAACAGTGTACATAAGATTATAAACATGCCAATAGGTTATTGTAAATAAATTTTTATACATACCTGCTTATGTATATATAAAAAAATAATTATAATTTTATGATAGTATATATAATAAACAATCGTTTACGTGAATCATTCGATTTTTCATATTATCGAGATCAATGAAAACCTGATTCAAGAAAGTGCATTGACTATGCTTGACGACATTTTTATTAAACAAAAACAATGTTTTTATGTGTAATTACAATGCAACTGATATCAATATAAAGTGAAAAATGATGAAAACAATGTACTATTTTTAAATGAACATATAACTTCAATATAAGAAAAGATTATGGTAATAACATTAACCAACAAACTTAAGGTAAATTAAACTTTAAAGTTATAATGAACGAGGAATGTCCAAGCTGTAACCAAATAACAAATACATCATGCTCGAGGCTCATAAAAGACACTTGTGGTCATNATGTAGTCTCACAATAATTAGAAATTTTCTTCTCCTTCTGAGAAATAATTATAATCGGTATATTTCTAGTCATTATTAATTTAAAGAAAATGGTGCGGCAAGCCATAGCGAATTCCGGCTTCGTTCTGACTCCCTTTCGGGTCCCTAAAGCAGCAACCTCCTCGCGGTGAGACCCGGGCAATCGATATCATTCTCGGTATAGAAAATGTTGCGAATTGCAATGAGTTTTGAGTCGAGGATGATATTGAGCTAATAGCTGCAAATTTTGAATTTCTTTTATATTGTAAAGTAGAGAATAAAGCTGTAACAAATATATTGTATGATTTTTAAATAAAGTGTGAGGATTTATATATATTTTTGTCTTACTCTTTCCTAATCATAAATGATGCTATTATGCTACGTTCATTGACAATTAATTTATAGGAATTTAATTGTGTTTCTTGAATGTACATACTTCTACATTAGTTCATGTGGTCATGTAGAAATCTACTGATACGAGATCCGCCGAGCCGAAGGGGAGCGAGCGCTCGCATTGGCATTATTCGCAACTGCATTACATATGTATAAGTGTGCATGAAACAATAAAAATTGTTACTTTATGTAATATTATATTCGTTATTTGTAGTTGTAAATGGAGTAAAATGTATCGTTATTATTTAAACAATCATTTTATTTAATTGCCTTCGATTTGAAAACAGTGTACATAAGATTATAAACATGCCAATAGGTTATTGTAAATAAATTTTTATACATACCTGCTTATGTATATATAAAAAAATAATTATAATTTTATGATAGTATATATAATAAACAATCGTTTACGTGAATCATTCGATTTTTCATATTATCGAGATCAATGAAAACCTGATTCAAGAAAGTGCATTGACTATGCTTGACGACATTTTTATTAAACAAAAACAATGTTTTTATGTGTAATTACAATGCAACTGATATCAATATAAAGTGAAAAATGATGAAAACAATGTACTATTTTTAAATGAACATATAACTTCAATATAAGAAAAGATTATGGTAATAACATTAACCAACAAACTTAAGGTAAATTAAACTTTAAAGTTATAATGAACGAGGAATGTCCAAGCTGTAACCAAATAACAAATACATCATGCTCGAGGCTCATAAAAGACACTTGTGGTCATAGTAAATGTCGGATGTGTTTAATATATGAAGAAGAAGGATGTAAAGCATGTAACAATGAACACATTATACAAAATATTGGAAATTATGGTAAAAAATTATGAACACACTAGATAACATTTTTGCCATGTTAATATCATAAATTTACATTTATTTTGTAGATTGTCAACCCTCAATGAAAACAAATTCAAACAAATTTTCTACTTTCAATAAAAATATGAAATATAATGATGAAATAGTGCTTCCATTGGAATTAGTCATTAACAAACATTCTAGATACAAAGCTAAAGATCTTGAATTGGATTCAATCAATTGTGTAAATAGTCCTGATTCTTATAAGAATACAAGTATTAAAAAGCCAGAAACTTATAACAAATCTATTATCACTGAACGTAAAGATGATGTTTCTGATAAGTTATATATTTCCAAAGAAGAAATTGGGAATGAGATTTTAAGCACACGCACATTTCTAAATCACAATTCATCTACAGAAAATTGCTACAATGAAAGAATAACAGATAGTTGTGGTTCTGTATGTATACATGGTTACATGAGTTCTAATTATGCTTGTAGTTGTGTTACACATTATTATTATCTTTTTTAGAACCCTAAAACAGAATCTCCAATCAAGGAAAAGTTAACAAAACGTAAATTGAGTAAAAGTTTTGGAAGTAATCACATTTTAATACTGCCAGGATCTCCAGAAAGATACAAATGCAGTATCTGCAATAAAATTTTTCATAACAAGAAAGGAAAATGTTATCATGATGCTTGTGCAACAGGTATCAGACCTTACAAATGTTCTTTCTGTGATAGAACTTTTATCAAACGTTCTCACTTTGAGTATCATGAACGAGTTCATAAGGGATACAAACCATATAAGTGCCATCTTTGCGAAAAAGCATTTCCACAACGTAATAAACTCAATAGGCACATGTTTTCACACAGTAGTAAGTTATGTTGTTAAACATAAATAAGATAAAAGATAAGTTGAGTCAATTTAATTGTAAGGAGCTAATATATTTCTAGAAGAGAAACAGTTTGTTTGTCCTCAATGTAACAAAGGATACACTAAAAAGGATGATTTAAGGATACACTTGAATACTCACAATGATACAGCTAGATATTCTTGTAAGGCCTGTGAGAAGACTTTTGGAATATTGACAAATTTAAAGCGTCACCTAAAGATACATACAAGTAAGTATGTATCTATATAAAATAGAATTTGTTTAATACATTCATGGCTGAATCAATATATTAACAGATGAAAGACCTCATACATGTGATGAATGCAACAAGAGTTTCAAAGACAAATCGCTCTTAATTCGCCATAAGAAAATACACGGAAAATATCGTCCATTTTCATGTGCACATTGTAGCAGAGTATTTCTATCTAAAAGCGAATTGAGACGTCATTTAATGGTTCATTCAGGTAAATTATTTATAACAATATATTATAATGATATATAATGGCATGGTATAATTTGTTTCAGATGAGAAACCATTTTCTTGTACATATTGTCAAACTGTGTTTAGAAGAAAAGACAATTTGCATCGTCACATTAGACACCATCATCCAGACAATCCAGATTTTAAGAACACCGAATTACAGGACACTGCGTCCACGACAAATACAAACTCAGTAAAAAGTAAACTAATAAATACAAAACAGAAGCAGAAACCAAAAAAGGCGCAAAAAATAGCTTCTAATTCGTTACCAAAGCATTCGACTAAAGTGTCGATGGTTTATGTGAGTTCTAATGATCAAATTAATTCTAGATTAGATTCGATGGGTAATATCACACCAGTCATTAGAACTACTAGCGAAGTAAGCAATGCAGTTCCTGTCATTAACGGACCAATTAGTGCTAGGAAAATAGAGGATAAGACTGATACTAGAAAGAAAACATTTACGTACACAGAACCAATACCTCTAGCTGAAGCTGTAGTGATAAACAGACGTATCGAAGAGAAATTGTATCCGCAAAACGTATCGAATCACAATTATTTTTTCCGAAATTACTTAAATTGTCCAGACAAGTCACATCCTCCACTTATGAATCAAACGTGTCGAACAAGTACTCAATCAAAAAATTCTGTGCTCGCGTCTTTTAATGAAAATCTAACTTCGGAGTCTGGTTCGGAATCACAGATAAGCGTTACGCGTCACAATGTAGACAAATAAATTTATATTAGAGAAGCAGTAAGGTAGAAATTGCATACAACGGAGGTTTGTATAGTGTAATAAATTAGTTTATGGAAAAATGTCAAATGTGAAAGATTAAAATTATTTTTTCTTTAATTATTAAATAGCAAGTTATATTAAAAGATTTCACTCACAAATCATACATAGCATTCCACTGCCAAAAAAACGAATTCAATGAAGAAGATACAAATC